GGTATCAAGTTTCCCTTTACGCTGTTTTAACCTCATCCGGCCATGTTAACTATTATTAGACTATCCTGCCCTGCTGCCCTTGCGTTGCTTTGTTGCAAAAACTTAAAGGAATACAGAAATTAGAAAAAAAGTTGAGTGTTTCAAGGAATTGGGAGTTTCTTATTCTGACTTGAAAAAATGCAGGAAAAATTATAACTTCAAAACTTTTTTTGTGGTGGTGTGGCTGGGTGTGGCTGGGTGTGCCCTCCAATTGAATCCTATTTAGGTTGGGATTTTTTTTCAACACTTACTGGTCATGTGACAAAATGCTTATTGACTGAGTTTGGTCAGGCTGGAGGAGAAAATATTCAGCTCTTAGTCACGAGGCATGGACCTGGCTGAGCTTGGTCCATATGTCATGACCTCAAGCCAAATATTTTCCCYTCCAGCCCTGCCACTCAGTCGATATTAAGTACATGTTATAGTACATTGGACTAACTATAAAAATCTGATTGGTAGGGAGCATAGAATCAGTGTACAATAGTGTGTGACATTGACATGATAAAGCAACATCTGCAGCATTTTTAATGTGTCCAGTTCAAAGTCTACTAGTTCCCAAGCCCCTTGTCATTGTAGTGTTCTTAAACTGTTGCAAACTCAGAGAGAAGTGTCTTCTTTGGCAGGTTGTTTTAAAAAATGTATGATAAAACAATTATGGCCGGAATTCAGTTTTCGCATGATATTATGAATTATCAAACCTTGTGTCTGTGTTATCTACCTCAGCCTTCAGCTGAGGTAGATAAGATTTGATTGTTTTTGATCGTTTATGATATCATGCTCAACCTCATCCAATAATTGCTTGATAAAATGTGCTGTGTTATCAGCTGAATTGAGATTTTATTGATGGTTAGCATTATCCACCATTTTAGCAACCAGGGCTAGGTCTTGTAAAAAAACTTGTGAGCTTAGAAATCTAACAAATCTAACACTTCTGCCACTATTTCAAATTATCTAGAGGGTGTAGATGTGAAACCCAATTCCACAGTAGAACATGTTTCATTTAGTGATGGCCAAATAAATCTCAGACTGAACTCTGGTGATGAGGTGAGAAATTAAATGTCATTGATTTCCCTTGCTTTGTAACTCTTATTTTTAAAGTTAGTTTTCATAATTTTGAAGTAGAACAATGTTTTATATGCTAGTATTCAACTTTGTCTTGAATTTATGATGCCTTTTTTTTGCCATAAACTCATAGATCAAAACAGATCATATAATTGTAGCAGTAGGCCTGGAACCTAATGTTGAGCTTGCAAGTGCTGCTGGGCTTGAAGTGGACCCAATTCTTGGGGGATATCACGTGAACTCAGAACTGGAAGCCAAATCAAATATTTGGGTGGTAAGCAACTTAGACGACAGCTCATGTTTGCATGTGTCTTGGTCAATATCTCCCTCTCGTTTATCTCCCTATTTCCTCTATAGGGGCTACATGTGCATCATTTTTTGAATTTTTTTCCCCAAATTGAAGGACGCTTTTTTTCTGTCAGGCTGGGGATGCTGCTTGCTTTTATGATCCGAACCTTGGTCGACGACGAGTTGAACACCACGATCACGCTGTCGTCAGCGGCCGACTGGCAGGAGAAAATATGACTGGCTCAAGGAACCCGTATTGGCATCAGTCCATGTTTTGGTTAGTAGAAATGGAAATTTTGAGTTCACAGTGGAAATAACTTCGCTCTGTGATTGTCCTCGACCAAAATCAAACTCGCCTCAAACCACAATTAATCAGAAACCTTTCTAAAACCAAGCGCGACTCTGTCACACGCATATTCCGATACCCCCAAGCAGTTTGCAAGTTCTTGCTTTGAGTTCTGTTTGGCTTCTTGAGATATTTCCTTTTCCTTTTATTAGCTATTGGAATTACTTTGATTTTGGATTTTCGATATCTAACCGATTTTCCCTCCTTCGAATGAAGAATTCAAGCGAGCTGAGTTTTTTTTAAAAATTCTTGTGGTTACGAGATTGTTGTGAATCGCAACAAAGCTTGAGGGAAACACTGTTTACCGACCAATGATTTTGCAAATGAGAAGAACCATCTGGCAGTTTTTCTTTTCTTTTCTTTTTATGAATATCGTGATTTTAGAATAAAACGAATGTTGGCTTCGAGAAGAATGCATAGTTTTAGTTGAAACAATCTACAACATTCGTAGAATGAGTAAATCTTGGGCTGCAGAAAAAAATTAGTTCGTTTTGCAAAAGAACTTGAGAATGGCCAATTGAAATCGAACAGTAAAGTTCGCGAGATTAGAGACTTCGCAGTGCCTCTCTCTGCTTCAAGGAGAATAAATATATCCTGAAAAAAAATAGGATGTGGTTTGTAACTTGTCCAGTGACTGGAATTGCAACAATTGTGCTTGTATTACTTGGCAGGAGTGACCTGGGTCCTGATGTTGGATACGAGGCTATCGGTCTTGTAGATTCCATGCTCCCCACCGTGGGAGTCTGGGCCAAGGCGACGAAGGCTGACTCACCCAAAGCTGTGGTGGAGGCTACGGGAGAAGGATTACGCTCAGAAACAGAAGGCGAGGTACAAAACTTGACAGTGATAAACTTTGAAAGAAGTTCTGAAAACACCCTGTTGTTTCGCTCCATAATTGTGCGTGCTTAACTATTTGTTTTACCTCAGGTTGCTGCCTCTTCTCCGGTCTCCACTGAGCCGCCCGCTCCTGTCCCCGCTGAATCATCTGAGGAGTTTGGCAAAGGTGTCGTGTTTTACGTGAAAGGCAAAAGAGTTGTGGGTGTCGTACTATGGAATATCTTCAACAAAATGCCGATCGCTCGAAAGGTCAAACTACTATAGAATTCACTTCTTCCCCCCCACTTTCCTGAAAAAAAAGTGAAAAGTGAAGCCTAAGCAGATTTAGTGGAGTTGTGATGTCTCGTGTCTGGAAGTGCAACAAAACAGGGGAAAAATGGAGGTCTTAAATCCTGTACCAAATTGCAGTGCCTCATAGTGCAATTTTCAATGAAAATAATGTGGAATTGTTTTAGTTTTGCTCCACATCGCTGTGTGATTGGTGTAGAAGACTCCTGCTACCGTCTTGACCAATCAGATTTAAACCAAAACCCATCAGGACTTGGTCAAGCGCAATTTCCCACAAGTTTCCATCGGCTCCAAGTGATACATATCTCTGCTCCGATTGTTTGTTGAGATTAGGTTAGCAGGGTTGGCGTAGTGGTGAGAGCGCTCGCCTTCCACCAATGTGTCCCGGGTTCGATTCCCGGACCCGGCGTCATAAGTGGATTGAGTTTGTTGGTTCTCTACTCTGCTCCGAGAGGTTTTTCTCCGGGTACTCCGGTGGTTTTCCCCTCTCCTCAAAAACCATCATTTGAATTTATTTAATTTAGAGTTTATTTGATTTACACACGACCCCACAAGCTGTTTAGCTTTGAAACATTATCGTGTTTAAATGAAGGTGTTATTATTATTATTATTATTATTATTATTACTATTATTATTATTATTATTATTATTATTACTACTACTACTACTACTACTACTACTACTCTGGTTGTAGTTGACGGCACTCAATCGAAAAAGCAAACTTGAGATTATTAGTTGTAGATATTGTGACTCCATAAGGTGACTTCATGTTAAATTATTCAATGCTTTTTCCACATCAGCATCGTTCTCAACATTCCTTCGACCGCCTTCCCCATCTTCCCTCACCCCCCACCCCTCAGTGGAATGAATGCCTGGGGCGGGCTTGGGTTGGGAGTCGGATTAAAATCGTTTACATTCTCTTTTGCGCGAATTTTTTCAAACTCGTCCACTGGTTGCATTTCTTGCAGATCATCAAGGAAGGGAAAGATCAAGATGACCTTAATGAACTTGCAAAGCTGTTTGATATCCACAAGGCGGGCTGATTCCACGCATTGTACCTGGTTCCACAAACGTTTTTCGAAGAGTTGGACAATGTTGATAAACAGCTTCAGTAGGAACGCAGGTCCTTGTGTCAGCGGACGTAGAAATGGTCAACTTGGCCTGGGTGCCTCATTACCATAAGTGTCCCTAATGGTTTTACGATCATATATTGTGCTCGAAAGACTGGTGAATTTTTACGTCATGTCGAACAGTCTTGTTTGAATTAAAAGGTGAATTGGCCACCGAGGGAATGTAGAATAAATTCCGATAATAAAAATCTATATTTTTCCGTTTGGCGAGATTTGCCTGGGTAGTCAATGTGGCAATGTTCTCATTATTTTTTCCTTGCTCAGCATCCGGATTAAAAAAGAAAATAGTTTCTTTACATTTGTAGCCATATTTGCATTAATATGTTCCCAGAAAAATGAAAAGGAACTGAAGGAGTATTGATTTTAACGGAGACAATGTCTTATCAACATCCATGTTGAAGTATGTCATTTCCCCACGTAATATCGCAGTCCCATGAATATGTGGCGTCTAAAAGCTAGGCATTTGTGTGAGATGGTGGGAAGTTTATTTATTCGAATTTGCTCACGTATACGACATGATAATTATGAAAAATATGTCTCATGTCACATTGTTTGATGTGAAGTTGAGAATTAATTAACGGTCGATCTCCAAATGTAAACAAAATTTCGTTGGTTGAAGTGTTTATAGTAAAGAGACTGGTGAAAGAATTGTCAAAATTGAGAGAGGCGTTTTAAATGTTGTCGGGGAAAATTGAGTTTTTTCAACTATAACGGACTTGGATGAACGAGCATAGTACCAACTAAAAGAGTGTATATTTATATATATATATATATATATATACATTTTATCTCACGTTACGTGATGTCGAATGTAACCGTTGTTAAAAAAGTTGCGGTCTTTCACTACATCGCTTCGAACGTTTCCAATACTTGGAAGTTTTACGTGTCCCATGACTCGAGAAATTTGTTCCAAATCATGAATTGTATTTGTGTGAGCTAGAATTGCAAATCTAAAACCCTCTTTAACTTTCAGCAACCTTGAAATTAAGTTTTCCATTAAGCTTTTCTCAGACTTTTCTAAAAACCACCTGCAGTTCATTAGTGAGTTAAAACAACCCGAAAGCCCTTCATGTTTCCAGCTCACAAATTGTCTGGTATAACGGCAGGTGCATTTACTTGACACAAAATTTGTAAACAGTAAATGGATGGTCTTACAGGAGCTAATTTTCTCACACGCTGGGTAACATGTTGAAGTGGATGCTAATCTTTCTATTGAAAACCAATAATTATTAATTTTTTTTTTTTAAGCGAAACTTTATAATTCATCCGAAATCATCTGGCCGGGTGCCTTTGTTTTAAAGTGTGGAGTGATAAAGTCTGTGAGCGCGTGGAGGGCGCTAAAAATATTTGCAAGTAGAGGAAAAGAATGCGTGATTCTACAAGTTGTAACAGAATCTTTATAATCGGTTAGTAACAGAGTTCATTGGAAGATTATCTGGTCCTCGAAGTTTGTTTACGATGGCTGCAACAACTTTTGTAGGGTTTCTCAGTCGCCTGGTTGCCACTGGAGAATTTAAATCTCTACACGAGCAGTTAACAACGTTTTTCGATGCAAGCTATCGAAATAGTTGCGAAGAAAACACAGCGTTTTGTTGCGATCTCATTGAGTTACATGCCAAGCTCCAAGGGCAGTTGTTTTATCTTCTGGAGTTGTGTTCTTCCGAAGGAGGAATTTACGGAGGAAGCGAAGCACTAAAGAAACGACTTTTACCTTGGCTTTGCAATGGATTTGTCACTGCAAGAATCATCCCGGAAGATGTAGAAATCGTGAAGGAAAAGTACGAGCTGATGGTTAAGAAAATAGATGAAGATTTGAGCGTTTCCAAAGTTGAAGCCGCAGAATTAAGAATCAAGTAGGTGTGCTAAAAAATATTTTTCGATAAAAAAAAAAAAGGTTAAAGCGCATAAAGCTTTTCTTTTATCTTTGTTTTACGTTCGGCAGGACACAGGCTTTCTCCTAGCATTGTGGATAAATTTGACTTCTTAATAAATTATGAATCAAATGGCACGATAGATCTTACTGACTGAGTTAAATTTCAGTGATTAACTTCATGAAGAATTATGATGTTATGAGTAGTTTGCCCGCCAGCATTAGCACAAATTAAGTAGAATGTTTGGAAGGGACGCACAGATTGCATGCGGCTACTTAATACTTTTTTTGGTTAGATTTGCGGATGCAGAAGATGAGATAAGAGGTTTACGTCAACAGCTGCAAGAAAATCAACAGGGAGACTATCAAGAAATTGGTGAATTGCGTAAAAAGTGAGTGCTTGTTGAAAATATACAAAGATAGGTAAATAGGGAAACGTTAAGAAAATAGGGGAGACGCTAAGATAATGTCACGCTCCGAGGTTGCTAAGCAACTAGGCCACAAGGCACGCGCGTGTCACACAAGTCAAAAGACTAGCTTGAGATGGAAAATGAAATGCTCAATGTTTGATGTTATTGAGATTATCTAAATACTAACTTTCTCTTTATCTAAACAAACTTAAGGTTGACATACACAAAGAACGAACTTGTAGCTAGGGAATGCCAGATCAAAGAACTTAACAGAGAAATTCTTGAACTGAAGAGAGAAAATTCTGAACTTCACGGAAGGTAAATGGTTTTCATGTTTTGCATGCCTTGATCTTTACACGAAATGAGCAGTATGGAGAGTGCTAACGAAAAACGCCATTTTCCCTAGCTGGAAATTCAACCAAATTGGCATGGACGGCAAATCTGTAGAGATAAAGTTGCATTTACGAACGGAACGGAGACTGAACGCAAATTAATTCTGGTTGAATCTCATTTCCAGGCTTCAGAAAAAGATCCTAGATGCTATGGCGGAGCCGGAACCTGTTCGCCTGGTGACCAAACCATATGTCAATGGTATCGTTCCTTACCAGTCCCGCTCTGCCAAACTGGTTGAAAGATTTGCTGAACTGCACAAGAGCGACAGGATACAAGTAATAAATTCCTTGAGGGGCGTGTCTGATAACTCAACAGCTGAACGATTTGCTTTTTTAATCGTCGAGGTAAGAAATTAATAAGATCAAGATAGAATTAAGAGCTGTAAAACAGTTTTTTCATATTTGTCTGGTGATGAACCGACTGCGCCGGGTCCTTAAAAGTCTTATCAGACCTGTTTGAACAGAGAACTTCCTTCCAACCGGAGGACCTCTCAAACGGAAAAATTCCCTCAGCCAAATAAATCATTTCCGATCGATGCCTGGGGTCTAATAACCAGAAATCAAATCTCAAAAAAGTTTTCCAGCATCCCAAAAGCCAATCACCAGAATAAAATCGTTCAATTAAGAAAAAAAAAAATGAAAATTGAAAACTTACATATAAACCGAAAGTTTTACCATTGGTGCAGGAGTGCTTTACAGTTAGCAAACTGGAACAGCATAGGATGAGAACCCGGATGAACCAGGCGTTACAAACCGGCCCCAAGGGTGGCCCGGATAAGTCAGGCAAAATCAACGAGCTGGTGGATAATTACATGAAAAAGAACACAGAACTGTACGACATCGAGACCCTAATTCCGGTGAGTGAAAATTACTCATCATACTAACCATTTATTTCCTTTCTTTGGGACCAAGAAAATATAAACTGATCTCTTGTTTTCACTTCGATCCAAGGCTGACTGAAACGTGAATGAGAATTCTTTTTGATTATTTTTCTTTCTTACCAGGACGTGATAAAATCCTTATATCGCAACTCAATAATCGCACCTTACGTCGCGTGTAATGAGAAAAATATTGTTCCCTTCGTCCGAGAGGTTCTACGAGTGGCCTGGGCAATGATATCCCTGAATCCTCCCATTGACCTCCCCGCAGCATTGGAAGGTGACGTCATAAATGACACACGTTACAGAAGAACGTATGACTCCGAATTTAGTGCCACAACTATCGACTACTTTGTGTGGCCGGCTTTAATCAGAGAAGGAAAGGTTGTTGCCAAGGGAAAGGTAGTAACTAGGCGAATATCACCTCAGAAGATAAAAAAGGTATGTAAAGAGTTTCTGAAAGGGCCGTTTGATTTATGATTTCAGAATTTTGTTTTAACTGTTTGTAGCTGATGTAGTGGACAGGAAAAGAACTCCAGGGTTTGTTATGTGGCTGAGGTGCAAGTGTTTCTAATCTAATACGATAAGTTAAGGTACCCTTTGTTTGCCGGTCGTGAGATTCGTATTTGGATAAAAGAGAGAAAGAGAGAGGCGTCGTTACCCAAAGCGCCACTTTCATTTTATAAATTGCTTGTAAATTCCTAAAAGGACCTAACAAGTAAGTTCATAAATGAGAACTACTAATATCGAGACACTTTTTTGTAATATAGTATCTTAAGAATACAAAATAAGCAATAAATCTCTCAGTGCTATGATAACTTTAGGTAATTCTTTTTTCTGTTCGTTCCTGAACCATTCCTCAGGCGATAACAAGCACCCCCCGCCCGGGTAGCACCCCCCACCCGGGTAGCACCCCCCACCCGGGTAGCACCCCCCACCCGGGTAGCACGCCCCGCCCGGGTAGCACAGAGCCTTATTCTCGTCCGTCAAGCTATGACCTAGGATTTGGTTCTCTGTCGTCTTCTTGGAGTGGTGAGTAAAATGAAAAAAAATGAGATTAAGGTTTGCAGCATGCTTGGTTCTTCCACCAAAATAAGTCAGTTATTCCCACACTTTTTTCAAACTGAACTAGTATCAAAAGAGTCACGTTTGCCCAAAACATACCGGAATTCAGAGAGAGAGAGAGAGAAAAAAAGACTTCATTTACCAGATCTCTGACTCAAATGATTTGAACTAATTTCTGAAGGAATATTTATTTAAAACAGCTATCTTACTGATAGCTGCTTGAAAGAAAAAGCTTTTTTTAAAAAATAAAATATGTTTAGCAGTAATTCCTTGACGGACAAGTGCTGACCTTCTTAGGAAATGAAAACTCTGGCTACAAGCCACACGAGGAGTAATGTATCTTATTATTTTTTTTTATCTTTAGATCACTCCAGCTTCAAGCACAGGTTCAGTACATAGTCAGGTTCTGGGGAATGTAAAGGTAATGGTCTGTTTTACCCTGTAGCTCGCAACAAAAACGTAAAATATTTTAACGTTTTTAAGCTTGAATATTTCATTATTTTGCACAGTTTCCCAAGTGATATTTGAAGCTTGCAAGCTTCATTCATGGAAATGTTATGCTAACTTCTTCAAGTATTGTAATAACAAACTGACACCCAAACTTTTTTTCTCAGTCTATTAATAATGCTCTCTAATTATTTCCTTTTCAGGGAGCATTCAAGACATAAGTATCCTCCATATTGAGTGACTATTAAGCTGAAGACATCATGAATGAGAACATGCAATGCATATATCTTATTAACCAGGTGCAAGAGCCATACTGAAAGAATATCGGCCCAAGGTCTTGACAGTATGGACTGAGCGCAGGGAGGTCCGTACAAAAAAGACCAAGGGCTGATATTCTTCCAGTATGGTCCCGAGCAAGCTTGGTTAATAAGAGATTTATTATACGACTGAAGTTCAAAGGGACACAAGTGCAGTATCATTTGGGACCATTCGGGACAGTGCCCGGTCCAATACTGAGAGAATATTGACCGGCAATAGAGCATTTCGATTGGTTGATTTTAGTTATTGGCCCTCTGACCCCCCAAGTCGTGTAATAAAATGTCTTACATCTCTGTAGTTTTATATATTTTATTTCACTCATAAAAAAAACTTGCAGATAAAATTTCTTACACTACCCATGTTGCATTTTGCACATTAAGCAACTGCTTGAAATACACTCTACCCAGTTTTATATCTGAATAAAATATTTATATCTCTAACTGGAAATTAAAAGTTGATGAACTACTTCATTAAAAATGGCAAACACTCAAAAGACTTCCAGCATAAAATTGTTACCAGCCTCAACAAGCCTTAATCTAATCTCTCTCATTTTTTCAATGAAGTAGATAGGTGAGAGGCCAGTTGTGTGAGCATTTGCTAGAGCCAGATTTCACCCTGATATCAAGCCAGAAAAATAACTGTTTCAGAAGATACCAAGTGTTCTTTGAAAGCTCCAAACTGCTAAACCTAAATTTACCTATCATTAAGACCAACAAGGCCAAGGAATCTCTTTTAACTAGTATAAAAATTCAGAGAAAGAATATAGCTTTAGAAACACTTGGCAGTGGCCAGTTCACATTATGAACTCAGTTGATGAAACCAAATTATTATCTTGTACTACTCCCACTGACGCAGCACCACAGTATCTTTAGAAATGTACCCCTTTTTAACCAGGAAAAAAAATATAGGACCACCCCAAAAAGGGGCAAAGGTGAATTCAGAGGGGGATGAGAAGTATGAAATGGCTGGATGGTAATTTCTTTAAAGAAAGTAAGAAAACAGCAGTGAGAAATTCTCATGGAGGCAGACAGACCAAACTTAAAGCCCCTTTAAAAGTCTTCTAACAAAACAGTTAATAGAAAGCTGATTTTTTATTTCTCAGGACCCTCCCCTGTCTGCTCAATGGTTATTATTGTAATTAGACACCTCAATAAGGTTACTATCAGGATCCCTTAAGTAAATGGATGTAATTGGTCCTTGGGCACCAGTCCTCTGCACAGGTCCTTCCTCGATCTTTACATCTAGATTTCTCAGGTGTGTGACAACACTTGATATCGGTGTGTTTGTAATTAGGCAAATGTCAATTGAACCAGGTGTTGGGTTTGCAGCTTTTGGTTCAAACTCCTTCCTTTTTTGGTGCAAATTGAATTTCTGATTTCCAAATCCAAGAGCTTTCCTACCTTGACCAAATGTAACCTCCTCCATACCGAGAACTTGAGTGTAAAATTTGACTGTAGCCTCTATATTTTTAACTGTTAGCACAATGTGATCAATATGAGAGATGGAAAACAGCTTGTACTGTGGATCCACATCTTGAAATTGGTGAGCATCTGCTATTCAAAGCAAAAAGGAAATGAGAAGTTTTCATGGGTCCTCATTCTGTTATTGTGTCAATCAAACAGAAAAATAAGCAACNGCACATCCCCAAGACTGGACTCTTTAACATGCCTGGAGAGGAGGAAATTTTAACCCAGTGGCTGGGTTCTAGGAGAGGGGTCCTCACTAAAAATGAAAATGGGTCTGTGGAGATTTTAACATATCACACCAAATTTAATTTAATTTAAATTTAATTTATTGGCTTTGCAGACAGGCAGGGACTCTGCAACAGCTTGCGCCAATTACTGCAGGCCCAGTAAACCGGCAGGCCAGACAACATCACAGTAATCTTGTGAGTGGGTTCTTTAATGTTCCCTGCCTAACAAAACTAACTAATTAATAGATGCAGGAGACGGGACCTGCGGTTCATTCGTCCTTATCCGAGAAGACTAGAATGTCTATTCATTTCTTGATCTTAGAAAGGTAGCACATTCTCCTCAGTTATTTTAAGACCTTTTAATTCAGGTTTTACTACATTCAATTTAGTCCATTAGTGAACACCATGGTTGTGATAGACTATTTTAGACAGAAACTTTGTTCTTTGGAAAATTTCACAGTACATGTGGCTATTAAAGCACAAGAAAAAAGTTACATCATTTTATGGGAACTTAGACATTTGAGGTTATTGGTAAAAGCTGTAATGGTCGAACTAAATGTAGGGTATTTGATTATGTGATTATGTGACCACCTGGACACTCTTTTTTACAAATTTCTTTTTTGGCTTAGGAATTAATTTGATCAACCTAACCATAAATTGCTATAAGGCATAGAGGTTTCCCATTGAAGATAAGCTTAAGGTGTGAACTGACCTATGTTTTATCTGAGGGGATGCTGAGCCCAGGGATGCTCAGTTCTTGAACCCAGTATCGCTCATTTAATGTACAAGGTACGATACCTGCAAAAAGTACCCTGATAGTCCTTTCTATAAGAAAAAAATGGAAAGATTTCCGCTAAGCCCATACTACTTTAATTTAAAAAAGGTCCAAGAGTTACCCAAGAACGGAATGCATGATGAGGTATGGGGCTGTGCCGAAGTCTTGCCAAAAAAAATTACAAACTCGCTCATAAATTTACTCACACAGGTGAACTTACCTTTCTGATCTAACCTGCTGAGTAGCCGTAATTTTGGCAAGCGCTTTCTTAGTATTTTCCTAGTGAAAATGATGGCTGCCATCGTTGATAAATACAGCAGCGGTAAGCTAGGGACAGAAAAAAATTTGTACAAAGGGGTGAGCGAAGGGAAAGTAAAAAAATTCTTCTCGCCTTTTCTCGCCCTCTCCCTGCACCTTCCACTGTAACTCTAAATCCTAATGGCCAGTCGAACAAGTGATCGCGAGCTTGTAACGTCCACTCGCCCGATGTGCTACATGAAAATCGTCAGGCGTACTATGGCCAGTTTTTTTGGTCGTGAATCTATGACAGTAGCCTAGGAGCTAGTCGGTGAACGAGGTCAGCGATCTTCCAAACGAACTATTAACGTAATGCAAATGTTGTGTCGGTTTCACGCATCTTGTGTCTTGTAACGTTAATAACTTGCTTTTATCAGTCAGTAGCAATGGCATTGACAGAACTGTACATGTTTTTAGTATTAATGATATTTACAATTCTTCCAAACGTTTGGCAAGCGGACGGGAACACTGGCGAGGAGTCTTTGGAACGCTACAAAATCGATGGAAAAGTGTTCATACAAGGCTTCAAACCAGCTGGTAAGACTTTGAAGTGTGTATCGTCTATGTTACTTCATCGTAAGATATCATAACAGTGATTAAGATAATTCTTCTAGTGCTGATTTCTCTATTTTTGATGTTTGTAGCTTCGAAATTTGCACACAATTTGGTAAAGGTCTCGTCTTTTATTCTGGTATAAAATGATTTAATTTACACTTGGGAGTTAAAAAAAATGTATTTTTCAAATGCTTTCATTTGCTAGTCCTAAAGTGAATAAGTAATGTTTAGTGTAAAGTAGAATTTTAGAACGGGATTAAACCTCATAACCAGGCCAGCTGAATTTATTTAGCTCGTACTACGGAACAGAATGAATGAATTAGACCAGCAATTTAATGTCTGGTTACAAATGGAGACCATGGACTGCAGGTCAGGTCTAACATGCAGAATCAGGAAAATGTGATATTAAAAAAAAGATTCAATTTTTCTGAGTATATTTTCTTTCTGGGAACACATAGGAAGACAAAATGTGGTGAGAACTAAGTGGTGTTGTGAGCTGTAGGATCAGCCTTTTGTTACATGATAATTTGGATATATCAACAAAGTTGAAATGGTAAATTGGCCACCATAACAATTACAAAAGCTGACATTTCAAGTGTTGGCCCTTCGTCGGAGCGAATAGAGGAATTGTGGGTTAAGTGTGCTTTTAAAGGCAGAAAATGGAGCTACTTTATTGGTGGGAACATGGCAACGAGAAAAACATGAATAAATTAGTGGAATGGAAAGCGTTCATTGATACCTGTGGGATTTAGACTTCTGGTTTGAAAGATGAGCTTTTGTTCTAGAGTTTTACGGCTTTCCGTGCTACCTAAGTGTAAGGAAAGACCGCAGATTGCCATATGTTGCTTAGAATGATTAGGTAAATTAAAATGTCTAGCGTCTGGTTTCGATGTGTCCTTTTCATTCCTTTCCACGTCTCAAAGGTGTTCTTGGAATCGGTCTCCTAGTCTTCTGCCTGTTTCACTGATGTATCTCTTTTTGCAATAAGTGCAAGTTATGCAAGAGATTACATTCGCGACATGGAAAGGAATGACAAGGACACATCGAAACCATTCGCTAGACATTTTAATTTACCTAACCATTCTAAGCAACATATGGCAATCTGCAGTCTTTCCTTACACTTAGGTAGCACCGAAAGCCATAAAACTCTTGAACAAAAGCTCCTCTTTCAAACCGGCAGTCTAAATCCCTCAGGTATCAACAAACGCTTTTCATTCCACTAATTTATTCGTGTTTTTCTCCTTGCCGTGTAACGTAGCTCCATTTTCTGCCTTTAAAAGCACAGACAACCCACAATTCCTCTATTCACTCCGACGAAGGGCCAACGCTCGAAAGTCAGCTTTTTGTAGTCGTTACGGTGGCCAATTTACCATTTCAACTTTGTTGATATATCCAAATTATTTCGTTTTCCCCCACTGATGCAGCCCCAAACAGTTTCTTTAGAAACTATTAGTCTTTGTTCTTTTGTTACATGGTTTTTCAAGTCTTGACATATATCACCTTGTGAGAAATCTTCTCTCAAACTACTAATTTTATAAAGTGCTACTCAGCATTGCCAGTGGGCTTCCACCAACTGATCTGCACCACCATGTATGTCTTACATGCCTCACATTAATCCTCAACATGCAAGTGATTCTGAGCACTGACTGCCATGCATTTACTTGAGAATTAGGGGGGAGAATTTGATCCTATATCAAGATAACATTTTCCAGATGATGAAGTCAGTAAGACTATTTATTTGAATAAAAAGGAGAAATTCCACGTTAATCACTTCTAGATGCGAAAGGGTTGAGTTGGAAAGGACCATGAAAGAGTTTGTTGAATGAAATCATTTATTTGGAAGCACCTTGGTAACACTACTGTAGCACTATAATTCTTACAATTAATGGAGTTGTTTTTATTTTCATTAGACTGGATTTCTCAAACCAAAATTCTTGTAGATGGTGGGAATTACATTGGCTTTCTCAAAAGTGATGGTAGCTTCACTGTAAACAATGTTCCGGCTGGTTCATATGTAGTAGAAGTTATGTCACCAAACAACCTCTTTGAGCCTGTCAGAGTTGACATCACCAGAACAAAGGGTAAAATCAGGGCAAGAAAAGTCAACTTTCTTCAGAATTCAGTTGTTGCCACTGTCCCCTACCCTCTAAAATTCAAAGCGAAAGAACCAGCACCATTTTTTGAGAAGAGGGAACAGTGGAAAGTCACTGATATGCTTTTTAATCCCATGGTGAGTGGTCACAGCAACTGTTTATTGCTCTTTCACTCCTAAGAATGATGTGCACACTATAACCCCTGAATCACACATTAAGGTCAGGAGAATAAAGAAATGATCGACAGAGCTGAATAATGTTGAAGGTATGCAGTCAACAATGTGGGCTCAAGCGTGTGAGGTTTCAAATTTTGTGAAAATGATAAGGAGCTGGCATTCAAAACTGAGGCATTTTGTTGTCATCAAAGGCATTTTACTATTTCCAAAGTTTTTAAGGAGAAAAATAATTTTCAAAAAATATTTAGGGGTTGTACAAAGTTTTTGGAAGTTGGTCTGCTAAAGAAAAGCAGCAAGGAAAACACTGCCTCAATAGAATAGAAAATCAACCATGCGAACGACTCAAAATCCAAGTTTCTGTGCCAAAACCTAGCACATATGCAGACGTTATTCAGCTCTGTCGAAATGATCACCAAGTAAATAAACTCTGATTGTTAAACAAGTTCTCCTTGTGAGGTGTGAGTAGTCCAGTGGTTAGTGCGCTGGATTCTGGGTCAGACAACTTGAGTTCAAGTCCTGGCTGGGGCTTGACGTTGTATCCTTAAACAAGACACTTCACTCACATTGCTTGTCTTCTCAGATAAGACGTAAAGCCGGAGGTCCCATCTCTTGCATCTCTTAATTAGTTAATTTTAGGTAGGGGAGGGGATGTTAAGGAACCCACATCATAAGATTACTGTCAGGTGGTCTGGTCTGTTTACTGGGAATTGGAGGAAAGGGGCATCTGTAAAATTTCTCCTTTGTTGATTGTAAATTGCCACTGGCAGTCTGGAAAAGTCCCCCGCTCAGTGTTGTAAAGCCCGTTAGATCATTACATGGTAAATGCACCATAGAAATTGATAAAATTATTATTATTATTATTATTATCACCTGAAGAAATGTATAGAGAACAGTATTTGGAGAATATGCATAGAGATGTTAGGGTGTAAAGGAACAGAGTAAACTGAAGTGTTTAATTTTCAAGAACTCAAAGCAGTTTTGAGGGGGTAATGAGATGCATTACAGGTGGTAAATTATAACTGTGTACCAGTCTGGTTACTGCCTGAAAAGGACAACACTGGTTAATATGCAGCAGATGGAAGTTTTCTGACAACTGTTTGTATGCCAGCTTTTGGTTGTCTTAAAGATGATCACATCATTTGGCTATCCATGGGTTTGTTTAAATATTTGACCTAATTCAGGGATGTAGATAATAGCCGGAAGCCGGGAAAATTACCTGGCTGTGAACGCGATTTTTCCGGCTGTAAAGCACTACTTCTTTCTCCAAAGTGTTTTTAAATGTTGCCAGAAGATTGTTATTTATTTATTTCGTTTGTCTACACCTTCATTGCTCTCTTACCTGAACTGAAAGGATTGTAAACACTCCATTTACTGCGACAATCGCACCATTTGCATCGCATTGTCCATTTTGCAGGCTCAATGGCCAGCGGTATTTGTAATTCAGGTATGCAAAATAATGAATAAAAATACCCAAATACCCAAGCCCAAATACCCACCTATCATTGCTAGATTCCCGCTTGTTAAAAACTTAGCTACATCCCTGCTGATTTTGTAGCTTTGCAGAGCATGATTCATCTTTTTATTCGTTCAGTTTTTATTTTTAATTTAAGATGAACCGTACAGTCAGGTTTTTTTGCCTAACATACACTGCCATCAAGAAATATCAAAACTAAGGTTGAATTTTGATCCTGGATAAAATTTATTCTTTTGCTTCTGTACAGGTTCTGATGATGGTTTTGCCGCTCCTCTTGTTGTTAGTTTTGCCAAAACTTATCAACAGTCAGGATCCAGAAACACAAAAGGTAGAAAGAACCTTTCAGTATTTGCAATATATATATCTTATTAGACATTTTGTTGTGTAGTATCCCTGCATATTTTTATGAGTTGTGTTATATTTTGACGAGCCCATAGGGCGAGTCAAAATACAAACAACAAGTAAAAATACTCAGCAATAACACACAACAAAATGTTTGATAAGTGATTTATTATCCAACACGCCAAATTGTCATTTCAGTGTGGACAAATTTCACAGATATTTCTGGAGTAGAAATATCGCATGATATTTATTCTTGTCTCATGCATTATTTGTACTCTACAAAGTGCAGTTGGATAATAAGTATGTATAGAGTAAGCACTTAGCACTCAGGCTGCTTGTGTTGGTCTGAGGTAAGACTTTTGATCAAAAACTTTCATGATTTGTGCCTGATGCTTTGATTGCTAAGAGTGAATTACTTCTAATTTCTCTTAGCAATATCACACAAGAATAAAGGAAATGATCACCAGCTAAAGAAGCTCTTGATTGTTAAACAAATTCTTCTAGTCAGCACCGTAGGAAATGTATAGAGAACAGTATGGAGAATATGCATACTGATGTTAGGTGTAAAGGGTTAAGCATTGTGCTTTCTTTCATAAATCCTCACCCATGTATTTGATGTTATTAGTGGTCCAATAATGCTGTAGTGCTGAGGATAAATTAGAAGAAAGAGAAAAAAATGAAACAATTGGAATGATTTTTCTGCAGCTTATGTTCTCCCCTTCCTTTTCTTTCTTTTTTTTATTACTGTGTATTGTTCCACTAGTTTTGTCAGAATACTGTTTACCAACTAAACTCCTGAGAAAGGCAATGTTTCCAGCATTTTCCTATACACTGCATAGTTCATTTTATGGTAAAGATAATTCTAATTAACTGTGTGAACTCTGGTATAATCATTGCTTTTTTTTTTTTTTTTTTCAAGGAAATGCAATCCTCAATGAACATGTTTAACCAGTCAAAAGATCTACCTGACATCTCAGATTGGTTTGCAAAGAACTTCTCATCTGGCAGTAAGAAAAAAACAACCAGCAAAACTGCACAAAAGAAAGCTGTGGTAGGGAGTGCAAGAAGACGTTGAGTTCATTTGTAAATTTTGCATCAATGTTCCATGATAAGATTTGGCTTCATACTGTCTGCAAGGATCTTTCCAACTAACAATAGACACTTTTGGTAACAATATGAAACTACAGCACTGTATAACGAGAGTGTGGTCTGGGCACTAAAGTTGACATGACTTGTACTATTAAATTTCTTTGTTTTATAACAAATCGCATGTGCAGTTCACCTCATCAGTTCACCTCATCAGTACACTTTTGAACTTATTTATTGATTACTCAAAGTACAAAGACAATTTCATAAACCAAATGCTAACTTACAAGCATGGAATACTTGGGATGAATTATACATGTACTTTATCTTTTTCCTTAAAACTATGATTCATAGTGCTGTAGAGCTATACAGAGGAGTTTTTAAGTCAATAATGTTGTCTCTTGGTGCTGTAATTTTTTTTCCCAGTGTACACACAACTTAATGATGAGGGGGGGGGGGGCAAGGAAACAGGGAGGAATGAGGGGGAAGCGAACAGGAAGGGAAGAGGTGAGGGGAAAGTGCTAGTTTTTTTCTGACTAGTGTAAAGTATTATCATATTGAGGAGACGTCATTTACATGATTACTTGTGAGTGTTTGCCCTTTTTTTAAAAAAAAAAAAAACGGAAGAAAGAAGGAGCCGTATTCAATTCGAGCAAATGTTCGTGTAGAATAAGCAGTAGAACGGCCATCAGTTTCTTTTCTGGTCCAATTACGAAGACAAATGTGAAAGAATTCCTAAAAATATCAACTGAACCGGTATTGGGAGCTGCGCCGTGAAGATGTAGCAGCTTTAGCTCCTTGCTCGCCATCACTAGACTCTTCATCATCAGTGGAAGCCTCTTCCTCCAGGTTATCAAACCCCTGGCAGGGTTCTTCTTCGTCGTCACTCTCCTCTTGTTTTTTGTCTTTGGAAAACAGCTCTTTCTTGATGAGCTTCCAAGTCAGCTTTTTCACAGGGATTCCCTTGCTCCAAATGGATGCGTTCACCTCTGGTTCTTCGAGATCTTTTTTCATGAGGTAGACAAACTCGGCGATAACTGACATAAGGAAGGCCACTTGTTCTGTTTGTACTTCCACCCACTCAAAACGCAGCTCCTCTGTGAAGTAGATCTCAAAGTGGATGCTGTCACCCTGAGCCTGAGACCAACGGCGGATTTTTCGCCACGGAGCGAAAAATGCTGACTTCTCTGGTAAGAGTTAAAAAAAAAAAGGGTTAGGTCTTCCAAGGCGACATAGCGAAATAATTTATCTCTGAGCTTTTCCTGGTCGCTGAAGAACAAAGTGGCTAGGAGCAATTGCTGCTTCTCCGGATGTAATGTCAGTCCATAATAGTTTTCTTCACCCCCATCCCCCACAATTTCGTCAAATTCCCTTTACAATTTGCTAGTACCCATTTGTGATAGTTGAGTACCTTGTTCAAGAACACAATGACCAGGTCCGTACTCGACCCAGAACTTATCGACCCGGGGTCCAGGGCACTATTCACCAAACCCCTGTGTCTCTGTTGAGAAGGACCCGCATCAAGTGAAAACTAGTATTATGTCCTGAACGGAAATGGTAATGCTAAGACACGTCTCGGTGAGCGAGCTACAAATAAACCATATAAATTATCAGAGAGGTGAACCCAAAACTGTAACCCTCTATCGTGAAATACTGAAAACGTCTTGAATTTCAGTGTTACAATTCGCGTTGTCGTCGTTATCATGATTTTAAATTCGTCCCACAAGTTTAAAATGAATGAAATAACATGAAATGAGCCGTATGAATAGTTCCTTCAGCTCCAGTTCTCTGCATTCGTAATTTTCCTTCATTTCTCTTCTGTATGCCGTTTTTAACCAGCCATGCACGCAACAACGCTAAACAAAGAATTGCCAATCGTTTGTCGGTACCCTGATGTTCTGCTACGAAAATAGGTGCGCGGAAATCTAATTGTACATTCCAATTTCCTTTCAGTTTTTCGCTACTTTCGATAAGTCTTGCCTCATGAAGCAGTCAATAATTTTTAAACAAAGTTATCTAATGATGTATGACTAATTACCGAAGACTTGCACTTCAGTGATTATGTAACTGAGCCATAGGTTAGCTCAAGAACTAAAATTTATCACACACTCACTTGATTTAATCATTAATCCTCTGCGGTTGGCTATCAGATCAACCTGCATTCCTTGAGTGAGTGAGACTTCTTTCATTTTAACATCATTTTGAATTGTACAATCGTTCAAGAAAACGTAGCCATACCCGAACATTTTCTGGCAAAGTTCCACGTACTGCTTGTCGCACGGAAAAGCTGGATTTCTGTATTCCTTTATTAGAGGAATGTGATCTGGTTTCGGCTTAAGCCTACCGTATCGAATATCCTCAATACACTGTAAACAGATCAAGTGCATCGCCCCAGCATCTGTTTTAAGATGTTTTTGCTCTCTCGGAACGTCGAATGACCACTTTTGTATTGATATAACGTAGCGGCATGGAAGGTAAATAAATTCGTTGTTACCGAACTTTTTAGTAGGATTTTCGATTCCGCGGAAGAGACCGAAAAACTGTAAACTGTTGGCGTTAATTCCCAAAGTTTTTCCAGCTATTTCCAGCAGATCTTCAGCTCGGATTTTCTCTCCGTCGACCTCAACGCGAACTGCAGGCTGTGTTCCTTCAGGGAAAGTCCAAACACAGATTTTGTCCTTTCTTGGGATCGGTTTCGATTTTGTTTCCGCCATTTTATCTGAACTTTAGCATACTTACTGAAACTTTGTGTGTTAGAGGCATCTTTACGCATTCATTAGATGATAATTCTGTCTGAAGACAAATCAGTGATAATAAGGTTCTTAACCGCAATTAGCACATCAAAAAATACAGACCTTTCACATTTCAGTTTACACAAAACATGTCTTAAGTGGTTGGCGTAATTTAGAACGCATTTAAATTATAAATGAGACGACAAATTCCTTCTTTTTACAGAAAGCTAAGAAGAAATATAATTAATTTTGTTGTATAGGGAGTATGAAAAGCACTAAAAAATGAAACTATCTTTTAGAAATTTTTTTTAAGAATTCTCTAGCAAAAGGAAGTGATGGCCGTCGCGGAGTTTACAGAGGCTGAAAAACTTTTGGTAAGGTGAAAACTTAAGATAATTTTTTCTAATTTGGCCCTTTAACATTGGTTAATTTGAGTGATGAGTTCTTTAAGCAGTCAAGAGACAGATTTATTTGTGACCGAGTCAAAATAGAGAACCATTGGAAGTGGACTTCAGTCGTGTTACACTCATAACACTCAATTGATACTCAACAGCATACCTTTGATGATTTAGTTGTTGTGAATGGATTGACACAGTGGTCAAACGTCTCAGCGCATGCGCGAACGTTGAACTGTCGGCGTGCGTTCAGGCTGTCAGACCCAAGTTGTCACACAAGAATTACACTCAATCACCCAACCAAAAAGTTGCGTTGTTTCAAGAGCGTAGTAATAACTTTTTCGATAAAGCTCATAACAAAATAATAAATTAACAGGATACCCGTAATCCGAATAATCTTTGGGTTCGAAAAGGTCTCAAGTTTTCCTTTTCCTTCCTTTTGACCGCTGCGTTTTAAACGTGGGCTGTAAGCCAATTCTTCGCGCAAAATTTTAAACAAATGTATAAGAAACAACTGCTGTCACACAAAATATAAGAAAATAAATTGAAACGTTCGTAGGAATCTGTAATTTTATCGCAATCATGAAGAAAACTTCCAGAAAACCAGTGCAGCTGAAAACGTTTTCCATCATGAATACCTTGTGTCAATAGTAGAAGACAAATTGTGTCAATAGTAGAAGTTAAGTTGAGGTCAGTGGTTCGAATCCCGTACAGGCCTGATTTTTTTCAGGTCTGATTTTCGCTATTGCTTAAATAGCGCTATCTACTGCGAGGATCGTACATCATATGTATTTAATACCGCAGTTCAAAATATATGAACTTCATATAATTCATTGTATCTCAATAGTAGAAGAGTTGTGTAGAAAACCTTGAATATATACGAAAAGAGGGGATTGCACTGCACACCCTTCGTGCCCGTGATTTCAGCGTGATCACGGCGCACGTTTAAAAATTGACTAATGCTTTCTCATGGCCGAAGCTCAACCTGGAACTAAACGGTTATTTTTGTTTCCTCTTTTGCTTTGAACGGATAGCTTTTTCATTGCAAAATAAATATGGACTGATTCCCGGTATAGTAAAAGAGTCAACGGTCGAGTACGAAGCGTGAATTTGGCTTTTTCGTTAATGTGATCATGTTGATGTGATTTGAAATTCTTGAGCATAAACGAGGGTCTATTTCCCCCGAAAGAGTTCGAGGATCCCTCGATGTATTTCTAATTTAAAGTACCCGTAATATAAATAACAACCAGTCTAGGTTTTGAAAAAATAAAGGGAGTTTCTACTTCACAGTCCAACGGTAACGATCTTAATAGATCTTAATGCGCAGCATGCGCGACAGGGACCAAAAGCCAAACTGTTCACTTGTTGTTTTGTATCAGTCTTCTTTATCAATATATATATATATTTTAGTTTTGGCTATCCTTGCTGCCCATAGAACTTAACTATTCATAAGAGAGGCAAGTTTGGCGGCATAAAACGCAATTAAATGTATCCCGTTTCAGTCTTGTAATGATGTGTACTGCTGGTCGCCAAAACACAATTTTAATTTGGAAGTAATAAATGAGATTTGTTAAGTAGATAAGGAACATGTTCAGGTGCAAATTGGACAAAAGCTGATATCAGTTTTACTAGCGGGTCGTATTTGCTCATTGTGAAAAATAAACATGACAGACTGTAAAGGAGTGTGGGTTTTAATTGGTAAAGTTCAATATCGCGCTATGATCGTTAGTATTTTTGTAATTGTTTGTATGTACTTGCAAGTAGATGCAAACTAAAGAGGGGTGGTGATTCATTCCAAATAAAATGAAAGAGGACAAAAATTAAAAATTCGGTATATATCGAAACAAAATGAACAGATGGTACCAGACCAGAAACAAATTGGGAACTGTTTACAAGGACGTGATGTTTACTTTAAAGCAGAACTAACGGAGTTTAGATTGTTCGATACGGACAAACGCCCACACTCGCCTCGATTAAGGATCTGTTGGTTGATTGCAGCGATAGCAAGCTGCGATAAATGCAGATACCTTACATGAAGGTTTTTGGCTGTTGACCGCAATGTAACTGATTCAGCCAAAACAGCTCGGCGGTGGTAAGAGGTCCAAGAAACTAGTTTGACCAGTTGTTCTCGTCTGGCCGGTTATACCAGAGCCGACGAGATGGGTGTGTCTAAGTGTCGCTGAAGTATGGAATAAATTGTAATGATCCAAGAAAATGAAGTTTTAATAAGAGTGTATTCTTTCACCGTATCGGAAAGGATTCTATTAGTTCCAATTTGCAATACAAATACGGTTAATAACGGCAAGATTTCTGACCTAAACTGTCACGTAAGAGTTTTGGATGAAACTTTTAAGGCTAGACCAAGATTTTTTTTCCTTTTCAAGTTTACTCTTCAAGCTTCGAAAATTTTAATATCGCATACTTGTGAAATAGGTGCATAATCGTGTACAATTTTCAGTCGGGCAATGTAGATTGAAAGAGGAGGAAAACATGAAAAGGGAATTAAAATCTAACATGTAAATGAGGAAAGAGGTAAATACCGTTTTATAGGTGTTTCAGTTGAAAAGAATTTGTGTGATTAACACTTTTAATGCCCCACTGATTCGTTAACATATAGGTGTTAGAGATATTTGTGTCAATCATTGTTGTGTCTTGGTGTTATAGCTAACCGTTCCTGTTCTTATTAATAAGCACTATGCCTTAGAGCCCGCAGCCTCGGGCCCCGCTCTTAATTTCGAAATTCAGTTGTCCCGTTAAGAAAGTAACACTTTGCCCAGTCCTAAACATGGGGAGTATCACCTCCTGAGGATTAAAATTGGAATTAAACTGTAATTCAAACTCATCGCAACGCTTAATAGAAAACTCCAATTGTGCCGAACCAAGGCAAGGACAATTTTTGATTTGTTTCGTGCTGGATTGTAGAGCAATTATTAATTGTATCGAGATTTGCGTCATCAATTTATAAGATCCCCGACGAGGCATTTAATGAAATTGGACATATTTTGGTTGCGTCCAAATGCCGGAAATTTGCGGACGTGCAAGGATTGTTATTGTCTGCAGGGAATTGACGCGAGTTCACCAGCTGATTGATTGTAGAATTCTATCGAAACATTCGAATAATTAACGCCGGTTGTCTCCTGATAATATTTTACCCAACAAGATAATTTACATGTCACTGTAACTACTGAATTACTTATAGGAATTAAAAATTCTACGGGCTTTGTTTGATATCTGATCACGATCCACACTAAATTGCACACTTCTGGGTTCTTCATTAGGATCGTGGTATCAAAAATGAATGATCCAGCGTTTTTGAAAAATTCACCACATGTAAGCTAGATGGAGCGAAGAAACGAGAAATTAACATTGTAAATATTCATAACAAGTAAAAGTCTTCTTGTGAAATATTTATTCATATTTTTAGTGGGTTGAATCAATAATAAACATGCATTTTTGATACAGCTGGGGTATCATGTCTTTATTTAGCATGATTCCGGCTTTTCCCGCGTTCTGGGGTAAACCTTTTAGCATTAATGTTTCTCCTTAGGTGTAGTGTCGAAATTTTTTTGTACAGTTCAAAACAAACAAAGTAACTATAAACTCTTCGCTGAATTTGTTTATATTATCATTTTGCGATGCTTCATAAAGACTTAGGAGAATGTTTTTTCTTTTCGTTAATTAGAATCAGTGTTACGAGAACTGGCTCATGATTTTATGTTATGGTTAAACTGTAGAATTTCCTGCTAATTGCTTACCTCCAAAATTACTTAGTATCAGCCAAAAATCTACTGTTTGAATTTTTCACTCGCGCTAAACATTCGCGACAGATTAGCATCTTGGCGTAGATAAGGTTAATCTGACCCTCTAGACCAAACAATCTGCTTATCAAGACTCCCGTTCTTCGATATTCTGAAAACTGATGGTGACAATATAATATCCACGCGAGGCCAAATTTTTCCTTGAATTGTCTTAAACTCTTCGACGGCTTTTGGAGATTCTGTTGATTTCTGTTGTTCTTTGTTTGCAGTTATGGCCTCCCGCGCTTCGACTTTTAATTTAAAGCTGCCTTAACAGATGTTTACAGGCATGTTCCAAAATGGTTTCGCAAACGCGTGGGTGAAGTGGAGGATTTTACTGGAATAAGAAACCAAATTTGGGCACATTTATAAATCAAAAATAAGGCAGGCAGCCGTGGAACTTAAAATCTTTTCCGACGCCAACATTGCTGAAGTTTGCTACATTAATATTAACGTTGGTAAGTTTTTTTTCGCGTAATTGTTCGCTTATCAGACGAGGAAAACTTATTTAGTTATCATTGAAAACCCATGTTGAACTGAAAAGTGCCTTTAAGGACGAACTTTTAATAGGCCAAATTAAAGGAAAAGCGTTCAAAAGAAATTTCCATATCATTAAGAAAACACGAATAAAACACGTGCGTTGTAAGTATTCCTTTATAAAAAATCGGCGTTTTTCAACTGAAAAATATCTCTCATTGTGGTCTGATGATGACCTATTTTTATTTCTTTTATCTTGCTTTCCTCGGTCGCGCAAATGAAAACATTTCCATTACTGAGGTCATTAATGATTAACACTGCGCCTTTGGCGCGATCAAGAATCATTTGTATATCGTCGCCACGACAAAGTCACTGTATTCAGAGGTTCTGGAGTTTTTCTATGCAAATTACCCTGCGACCAATCGTGTGCTGTGGCTATCTTGTACAGCGTCGCAAATTTAAATTGAACACTTGCAGCGCTTAGCTAGTGTTGGCTTTCACTTTGGGGCGGGTATTGCTAGTTCGTCGTACTTCGAACTCAAGGAGATGGGGAACAAGGGAACAAAACCAACTGCCTTGAAAAAAGGCAAAGGTAAATTGACAGCGCAAGATATCCAAGAGTTGCGACTGTCAACCGAATTCACGGAAGACGAGTTGCACACTTGGCATAAAGCGTTTCGCGAGAAATGCCCGAACGGTAAAATGTCCGAAAAAAAATTCGCGGAGATCTACAAGAATCACTATTCCACAGGCGACGCGACTATCTTCGCAGGCCATGTTTTTCGCACATTTGACAAAAACAAGGATGGAACAATTGATTTTCACGAATTTATTCAAGGTTTGTCTATCATATCGCGAGGATCGACAGAGCAGAAACTCCGATGGGCCTTTGAAATGTACGATTCAGATGGTAGCGGTGCAGTCTCTCGTGCCGAAATGTTGGAAATCGTACGCGGAATTTTCCGCCTCGCCGGCGACCGGGTTAATCTTCCAAGAGACGAGAACACGCCGGAAAAGTTCACGCACAAGCTGTTTGCAAAGCTCGACCGGGACAATGATGGTACAATTACACAGAACGAATTCGTTCGCGGTGTTCAGTGTTACCCTTCTCTGATGCGGCTACTGGACCCAGCCGGTGCGAAGTAAACTTAAACTAACAGCTTGCTCTACAACGTTTACACCCGTATTATTACGCATCGTTCAAAAAATTTACGATGGCGGTACAATTTCGTCGGCGTATCACGGTAGTGTGTCGAAGTGGTATGTTTCATTATATTGTTGTAACGTTTTGCTGTCGAAACAAGGTAACACCTTGTAGACAAGAAAGCAACTGTTGAACACACAACATTGTGTTTGCCTTTGCACGATGTTAGGCTTTTGATGTGTAAAGTGATGCACAGTTTTCACGCGATAACCATCGCATTGGAGAAAAATTTTCATAGATAAAATAACCCAAAAGACGAAACGGCCAGCCGGCAGCCGGCTAG